CTCTCTCTCTCTCTCTCTCTCTCTCTCTCTCTCTCTCTCTCTCTCTCGTTCTCTCACTGCTATGGATGACACCCCAAACATGTTTTCATCAGCCGTAACTCTATGCGACCTGTTGGATTTTCAGCAGATTATCTTTTGGACTACAAACATTCCAGTTTCCATCTCCCTCTCTCCCATCACCTGTCCCTCCAACGCCGCCAAAACGCTACACGAGGACCCCACCCCACCCCACCCCACCCCACCCCACCCCACCCCGCGGCACCCCCGACTCACCTGTACCGAGATCACCGACGCCGTCAGTAGCTGCTCGTCGTACCCGAACTCCACCGCGAACACGCTGTCCGGGGTGCAGTTCGGTAGCGCCAGCAGATCGGTTCCGCGGATGAAGTAGTTCCCGTAGAAGTTCGTGATGCGCAGGCCTCGCGTCGCCCGCACACGCATCACGGCCTCGAAAGCCGTGGCTCTCGTCAACACCCGGGTGAGCTCCGCGCTGAACTTTACCCCCTCGCTCTGAGCGTTGAACGCCTGGCGTGTTGGTGGTGGAGTCGGGAGTGGTTACAGGGGAGAAGGGGCGGAGGGGGATTCGTGCAAGCAGGCTCACTGGTAATGGATGGCGGAGACAGTAAGCAAATAGTGCTCATAAATATATATTTATAAGCAAAGTTCGGTGGTATTGGAGGGAGGGAGACACAGCTGCAGTGGTGCCGAGGAGTAATGGAGCCGGTGGAAGCGCCGAAGCAGTGCTGTGCGGCCTATGAGTCGGCATGCACCACAGCCATACCCGATAGAGAAACCCGGAGGATACGCCCACGCTACACACCGGTCATCCATTTTGCCTACTCCAACCGTACCTTTCATATCCCGTACGAGTCTTATCTCTCCTCCGATCCATCCGTGATTATTGCGCATCAACCCGGTTATCATGCTGCGCTCTCCGCGTGTGTTTTGTACTCGTTGCCATAAGCAAAATACATTTGCAAGTCCACGAGACTAAGATTCAAGGCGACTATTACAGAATCTGGCCGAGATTGTTTTGGCGTATTTGTGAGAGCGGGAGCGGGAACGAAATGGTGGTTGGCTCGGCGTTGCCTCATGAGCATCACCTGCCGAACGTACATAGTATCGATTCATTTTGCCGAAAGGGATCCCATGAGGCGGTTGGACACGGCCACAATTATCTTCCAAATTTCCGAACTTCCGCTTTCCGAAAACTACAACCTCGGTTGTGGATCCGGATATTTTCCGAGTTTCGAAATGATTTTGGCGCATTTTCAACCATGGCGAATGTTGGCCGTGTCGCTTGTTGCGCGTGATGTTTCGGAGGGAGGATTTCCTAACACAGTTGTGGGCAAGCAAAACGCATTTAGACGACAAAAACGCGACGACCCTTCGGCCTCTCACGATGAGTCTCTCACTCTCAACTCTCATCTCTCATCTCACCGCATAGTAGAAGAGCTGGCCAGCGGTGAACTTGGGAAGGTTGACGAGGGTAGCCACATCCGAGTAGCCCGAGCCGAACAGGAACAGGTCCACGCAGATCTGAAGCTTGCTGAACTCCACCGCTTTGTTCTGCAACGCCCGCGACGACACAGGGCGGGGAGGCAGGATTCGTACTACTACATTTCGAGTTTGCTGTGGGCTTGAGATAGTGGATCACACAACTCGGGCCATGAAACGTGGTATCGCTCAGGCCCGGGGATGTTCAAGTGGTCACCGGGAAGCCGCGACCCGAGTGATCGCCAGAAAATGTCCCGGGCACCACGGAAAAACTCCAACAATCCACTGCGAATAAGACCCAAACCTGGTTAATGGCATTTACAAGTGTTGTGTTTTCAACCTCACAAAGACTGGCGTCGTTTCATTGGTAAGGCCGGTTAGCGCGGTCGATGCTAATAACAAAACACACACACACACACGAAGAGCAGCCGTTATTCACCTGGTACCATGGATTTTCCGCCTTGAGCAATAGGTGCTCGCGATCGGTCCCCAAGGCTCTCGGGTTCTCCCTGTGCTTCAGCGCCGCCTCACCCGTGGAGGGAAGGCTTGCGCACATCACGGCCATCTTCCCGCCCACGTGGCCCATGACCTTGCCCGCGGCAGTCAGTGCTGGCCCAAGGCAGCACTGCACATCTCTGGTCTGGGAGTGCATCTGACAACGACAAGACACATAAAAAAGGAAAGCGTCGAGAGCGAAGAGACAAGAAGAACATGTCGCGAAAGGTTACGCCGATGCCGGGCATCGCAAGTCGGACAGTGCTCCATTCAACAAAAAAACAGTACGGAAACACTACAACGCTGTCGTCGTCTTTCATCCGTGTCTTGTTCGATATGTCTTGATATTTTTCGTACCGCCGACAGTGTGCGTCTACCCACTGCAGTTTCAAGTACCGGCGCAACCACCTCTTCCGTTGTTTGAGACGAATGCTTCTTCACAGGGCAGGGAAAATACGACATGACGATTTGCGAAATTGAGACTAAGAGCTCGTCAGCAAGAGACACAAATGCTCCACGCCCACGAAACAACAATCGGGTTCAACCATCGCGTAGATCATGGCGCCAAGGGCACCATATCATTTTGGACCCCCCCCCCCGGGAAGCTACATGCAACGCTCGCTTGTGGTTAAGTTGCCGCGAAACGGTACAACGTTACATATTACTTTTTTTTTTTTGCGGGGGGGTGTACTCATAGTCGTGCATGCCGTAGTCGTTAGACCATTG